AACAGTGAAACTTCTCCTGCGTCCCTTCCTCCCTGTTCCCAAATCCAGAGTAAGGCAGCTGCTCCCTGGCTTGCCTGGGAGAAACCTAACCGTTTTGGGGTAGGAAGCTCTCTGGGGAGAATGGAGCCTGGTGTTCCCTTCCCTCCCAGCCATATCCCACTCTGCATTTTGGGGTCAGGGTGGAGGTTATGGCTGAATCTTCCCACTTCCTTGGCTCTTTCTGGCCTCCTTTTGCCTTTCTCAGTCCTACAGAATTGGGATCCCAACCTCTCAATCCCAATACCATTCAAGCTGTATGTAGGCCCTGGATCAGGTCCCAGGTATCCAGCTTTACAATGACGGTGTTGCTGTGCCCCAGAAATCTGTGCGTGCTGGAGGAACACCAGGTGGGGGTGGGACAGGAAGCAAGTGAATAATCAATAAATAGGATGGGAGGCCATGGACGGTGTGGGGACATCCTGCAAGAGCCAGGTCACATCCAAGCAACTTTGAGGCACAGGGACAGCCAAGTAGTGGTCAGGAGCCAGTGGGCAGTGAGGAAGGGTTCAGGAGGTAAAGGTGGAGTGGCAGGCAGAGCCTCTCCCCTCCCCCCACCCCCATGAGAGCCCAGAGACCCAGGAAGGGGCTCAGAGTCTATCATGAGGCAGCAGTGGCTGGGGAGGATCTGGGATTTGGTGTGCCATAGGGTTACTGTGGGTAAGAAAGAGGCAGGCAGAGGGCCCAGCCTGCGGGGATGGCATCAATGAGAATGAGGCTGAGCTGGGAGCAGGCAGAAAGCACAGGTCAGAGAAGTGCTGGGGACCCTGGCCTGGGCTTTAGCTGAGAATAAGAACTGTGCAGGGGAGGCTGGCAGCTTCCGGTACGCTTGCCTCTGGGAGGGTGGAGCTGAGAAAGGGAAGGTGCGCTTGACACAATCACTCTTGGTTAGTGTGCACTTACCAACCACAATGCACATATGTTTCAGAACCATGAAGCCATTCCGTGGAACTAACAGGGAGTGAGGTCATCAGAGGCGACCATCCTCTCTGGGGCTGAAGCTGGCCCTGGGGGTTTGCCCTGGGAAGCAGAGGAGCAGGTGGCTTGTCCCAGCCTGAGGCATTGAGTGCTTTTCATTCATCACCGAAAATGGAAAACCGGAGGTTGTCAAGGCCAGAGGCACGGAGGGAAGGTTCTCAGGGCCTCCTTTCTGTATAGACCTAGCCCAGGCAGGAAGGCCAAAAGCCTGAGTCCCAGAAAAGAGTCCACCTTGGCTCCCAGATGTCCCAGCTAAGGGTTCTTCCAGAGGCCTCCTGTTGGCGCCATTGTTGGGAGAGGGAGACCTCAACAAGTCAGCAGGAGTCTGCATGTGTCCTCCAAATCCTGGAGCAGTGGGGGACCTTGGCCAATTCCCAAACTGCTGAGCTTCACTTGGGATGCCCACAAGGTCCCTCCAGAACCTCTGACTCCAAGGATGTGATGTGCCCTGGGTTCTGGCTCATTACCCTGACCCAGGAGACTGCCTTAGTGTCCCCCACCTATTTTACAGTCTTGGAGCCTCTTCCAATCGTGAGGTCCAGTGCGGTGCCTCCTAACACTGGACAGACAGGTAGCACCCTCTCAACTCTTGGGAGATGTCCAGCCAACTGGACCTTTTGGGCTTAAGTCTAGGAAGGCGATCCAGGCCCCTGGCCAGCACTAGACAGGAGACAGAAGTGAGTGACCCCGGCCTCACTGTCCTTTGAGCTCAAACTCAGAGAAGCCAGGTCAAGCTGCAGGAAGCTGGCTTTGCCATCAGGCTGGCTCTTAGGACCACTGTTCTACACAGAGCCCAATCCAGGGCCTGTCCCTAGGTTGGGAGCCAGCCTAGGACCCCAGAAAGAGTTTTAGGAAACAAGACAATTCCCTTTCATATGATCTGGGAAAGAGAACAGGAGCGTGAGCAGAAAGTAGGTACACTTTGATTTCCTTGTATTTTTAAAAACTTACTTTTTATTATGGTATAATTTTGGATTTACAGAAAAGTTGCAAAGACAGTATGAGAGTCCCACGCACACCACGTTCGTTCCCTAATGTTAACATCTCAAAGAAAAACGGCATGACTGTTGTAACTGAGAATTTAACCTTGGTACCTACTCTTAAACTCCAGACCTCACTTGGTTTTCATTGGCTCTTCCAGAATCGGGTGGGCATGCCTGAGAATGGAAAGGCAGGGCTAGGAAGTTCCCTGCTGTCTGCCCAACAAGAAACACTGAGAGGTAGCAAAGAGGTGCCCAGGTGGGTGGAACATGTGCTGGGGACCATGGTACCAAGTGTGGAGGCGATCTGGAGTCTAGGGGGCGTTCGTGGCGGTTGAGGCAGGGAGATGAGGGGCTGACACAGTGCAGAGGAATGCTTGGGGAGGACCCAGGGTGGGACAAGCCTGGACCCAGTCTCAGATTTGCCGCATTCCTAGCAAGGTCACCTCTTTGGGCCCATGTTTTCTCATCCATTAAGCGGGCGGAATATGAAAGAAGATGCAGCAAGATCACAATAAAAAGTCGCCAAAGCCAGCACTGAGCGAGAAAAAAAAAATCACTTCTCCCTCTTACAACAGGAGAACACACCCACTTTTGGCAGAACTGAAAGTGCTGCTCTGGGACTCCGGGGTTTACCAGAGCCAGGGACTGCCGCATCCATTTGGTCCCCGGGGATGCCAGGCCTTTGCGGGAGGGGTGGGGCAGAGCTGCACCACCAGCTTTTAGAGCGACAGTCCCGAATGGCCCCAACGTGACCTTGGGCGAGGTTTTGCACTGCCCAGTTGCAAAACAGTAAAATCACAGTACACACACACAACGCCTCCCCCTCCTGCCCAGCGCGAAGGCCTGGCTCGGTCCGCACCCGGTCCCGCGGGGCCTCCTGGCGCTGGTCGCCCCTCCCCTGCAGCCACGCCTCTCGCAGCCCCCCCAGGCCTAGCGCGCAGCCGAGGGTCTCGGGCACGCGCGGGTCTGAGTGGGCCGGGGGCGATGCCCCCCGCCCGGGCTTCCCGCCGCCGCCTCTTTGTCCCGCGGGCCAATGGGCGGCCTACTTGACTAAATAAGGCGAGGAGCGCGGCCTGGCGCCCGTCCGTTACGTCCACCCCCGTGACTCAGGGCAGCCGCGGGCCTCTGGGCGGCGGGCGGGGCGCGAGCCAACTTCGCCAAATATGGCCGGACGGCGAGCCGCCGCCCCCCGCCCGCACACCTGGGCCGCACCTGGCACCCCGCGCGGCGCGCCCTGGGGAGAGGAAGGTCCCCCGCGCGGGGCAGCAGAAAGGGCCCCGCGGCCTGCTTCCTCCGCGCCCGGCACGTGGGCCGGGGAGACGGGGTCCTTTTCCCTGAAGCCCCGGCCGCCCCTCCGGGCACATGCAGACAAAGGAGTCCAAGAGCATGCTGGGGTCTGAGGAGGGGCAGGCGACCTAAGGCAGACTTGGGTAGGGTGGAGTGAGGACGGACACTGGGTGAAGAGGCATACGGCTACTTTCCACCTGTCCCTTGTCCCTTAAGAGCGTGACATGGCGTCTTGGGGACCTTCGCCCACCCCACCCGGTGGTCGGGGAGACTTCTGGTTCTGCACAGGGACCCGAGCCAAGATGAGCTTTTCAGAAACCCAGTCCCGTGTCCCCGCCATGGGTGGGGTACGACACACACTTGATAGCCTTGTCGAGCACCCCTAGAAAATCTGGGGGGGCTCCCGAACCCAGCACTCTCCTTGCCAGGTCTGGGGGCACGGTCACCGTCCGCACCAGTCTTGCGGTCGGCAGGTGAGCTGGGCGGGCTGCCCTGGCGCTTGAATCCTGCGTCCCCATCCCCTAGATAGCGACACCAGCTGACCCTGCAGGGCCGCTCTTGGGAAGCCCGGCACCGCCCCCACCTGCGGGGGTCCAGCTGAGCGCCCTGTGACCTTGGACGAGTCCTTGGCCTCACTGCCGCCCCTCCCCCGCACCTAATTCTATACTGAGCAGTTCTAGAAGCTTACAAATAAACCCGTGGAAACCACAGTGCCCGCTTCCCTCCCGGGGATAATCGAGGCCTCGCGCTGGCAGGTGCGGCCAGGACCCCGCCAAAGGTTGGGCAGGTCCCCCAATGGGCTCCCGGGGAAGGACAGCGGGGCTCCGGCCAGTGTGGAGAAACCCTGGAGGTCGGTGTGCTGTGACCGCCCTCCCCCAGCCCCCGGTCCTTTTCCTAGTAAAGCGAGTGCCCGTACAGCTGGCCCAGGATGCGGGGGGAGGGACGCTTCCGGAAGTCAGGACTCGGTCCTTGCCTCAATTTCCCTACTGTGTCCACAGTGACCAGAATAAAACAAAGCCCCTCGACACTACCCCCTTAGAAGATGAGAAGGGGGAGCGACCCCCACCCCCCGCCCCAGGCCGAGCCCACGCGGGGGGACACAGTGACGTGGTTTTGGGGCCTCTTTCTCCCGCAGAGGGTCTACGTGGTCGTGGCTGCGCTGGGGGGGTGGGGTGGCTGGCGACCCCTCCCATGTGATCAGGACGAGGTTGGGGCTCCCCGGGCCTAGGACTCCCGGCACCATGAAGGGGGTCCCGCGGGGACCCCCTCTCCCTCCCCCAGCCGAGTACCGGCCTCCCAGGCGGGCTCCGGGGAGGGGAGCGCTCGCGGGGGCGTCGGGGGCGAAAAGCCGAGGAGGGCGGGGGCCGCGGGGACTCACCCCAGTTTGGGGCGCGGCCCGCCCCAGGCCCGGCAGTTTCGGGGTGCAGCTAGGCCATTCCCCACGACACAGCAGTCCCGGGGAATGGGGGGGGCAGTCAATCCGCCCCACGGCGCTAGCCGAGACCCCCGGAGGCCCGGTCGCAGCTCGCGCGGGGTCTCGGACGCGCGGGGGCGGCGCGGGCGGGGCGGTTGGCGGTGGCGCGGGCGGGGGGCGGGCCGGGCCGGGTCCCCACGTGTCCCGGGCGGGCGGGCCAATGGGCGCCCGGGTTTCGGAAAGATCGCCATATATGGACATGTTCTGGGGCCGCGCGCGCCGCCGCCCGCGCGCGCGCCCCGCTCCCTCTTAAAAAGCGGCGGGGGAGGCCACAGTCGGTCTCACTCGCCTCTGCCAAGCTGCGCTGCGTGTGCTCTTACTGCTGCGCTGCCCCGTTCTCCGCCGGTAAGCGGCTTGCACCCCCCCACGCACACCCCGTTCCCCCGTTCCCGGCCTGGCTGTGGATCCATTACTTGGCAAGGCTTAGCCGCGCAGCCCCGGGAACAAAGGGTGGCCGGGAAGGTGGGCCTGGGTCTGCGGCTGCGGTCGGGGTGCGGCCCGGGGACCCCGGGGGGGGGGTCCGGGGCGGGGCCGGCGCAGTGCGCACTTCTCCGCGCCGCCGCGGAACGGGGCTGGTGCCAGGAGGCCACCGCCGGTTGCAGACGGTTACGCTTGCCCCGGATGCCGGCCTAGGGATTGGGGGGAACGTGTACCCCAACGCGGGGGTCTCAGCTGGCGGGGAGGGACTGTTCCTTACTGCCAGGGCGCCGCTGAGCGAGTCGCGTTTTTGCGCAGATCGCCATGGAAGAGGAAATTGCTGCGCTCGTCATTGACAATGGCTCCGGTATGTGCAAAGCTGGCTTTGCGGGCGACGACGCTCCCAGGGCCGTGTTCCCCTCCATTGTCGGGCGTCCCCGGCACCAGGTGAGTGGAGGGCGCCCCTGGCCAGGCCTCCCTGTCCTCCTTGGTCCCCTCGGCGCGCGAGCCTGACGGCCCTCCCTTGCAGGGCGTGATGGTGGGCATGGGCCAGAAGGACTCCTATGTGGGTGACGAGGCCCAGAGCAAGCGTGGCATCCTGACTCTGAAGTACCCCATCGAGCATGGCATCGTCACCAACTGGGATGACATGGAGAAGATCTGGCACCACACCTTCTACAACGAGCTGCGCGTGGCCCCCGAGGAGCACCCCGTGCTGCTGACTGAGGCCCCCCTGAACCCCAAGGCCAACAGAGAGAAGATGACGCAGGTGGGGGGCTGAGCCCGGGTCTCAGCTGTCCGTGTTTCACAAGTCATTTTCTGCTCTGCTTCATTTCCTGACATTCAAGTATTTCTTTGATATTTCCAGGGTTCTGTTCCTCTCCTGGCATTTCCTTCCTGAAGCCTCCAGGTTTCTTGTTTGCGTTTCTGCCTGTGTTCTGTTCTTTTTCTCCACACATCACATTTGTGGCATGCTGCATGTGGCGTGTGGGCGTGGGTGGCTGCTGGTCCCGGCCTTTGGCTGAGATGCTCTTTGTCCTTTCCCAGATTATGTTTGAGACTTTCAACACCCCAGCCATGTACGTGGCCATCCAGGCCGTGCTGTCTCTGTACGCCTCTGGGCGCACCACTGGCATCGTCATGGACTCTGGCGACGGGGTCACACACACGGTGCCCATCTATGAGGGCTATGCCCTCCCCCATGCCATCTTGCGTCTGGACCTGGCTGGCCGGGACCTGACAGACTACCTCATGAAGATCCTGACTGAGCGCGGCTACAGCTTCACCACCACTGCTGAGCGGGAGATCGTGCGCGACATCAAGGAGAAGTTGTGCTATGTCGCCCTGGACTTCGAGCAGGAGATGGCCACTGCTGCGTCATCTTCGTCCTTGGAGAAGAGCTATGAGCTGCCTGACGGGCAGGTGATCACCATCGGCAATGAGCGGTTCCGGTGTCCAGAGGCGCTCTTCCAGCCCTCTTTCCTGGGTAGGTGTCTAGAATGGGGTATAGGAGGTCGGGTCCCTTTTGCCTGTCATCTTGGACAAGGTCGGTCAGGCAGAACCCGATGGCTCAGGGAGAACTTTGTCCTGTAGGTATGGAATCCTGTGGCATTCATGAGACCACCTTCAACTCCATCATGAAGTGTGACGTGGACATCCGCAAGGACCTGTACGCCAACACAGTGCTGTCTGGAGGCACCACCATGTACCCAGGCATTGCCGACAGGATGCAGAAGGAGATCACCGCCCTGGCCCCCAGCACAATGAAGATCAAGGTGAGTGTGCAGCCTGAGCGGGCCTGGTCCCGAGGGGGGGGTTGGCCCTTGTCAGGGCAGGTAGTTTGGTGTGGGTCCATGACTCCAGGTCATCACAGCTGCTCTTCCTTTACAGATCATCGCTCCCCCTGAGCGCAAGTACTCTGTGTGGATTGGCGGCTCCATCCTGGCTTCCTTGTCCACCTTCCAGCAGATGTGGATCAGCAAGCAGGAGTACGATGAGTCAGGCCCCTCCATCGTCCACCGCAAATGCTTCTAGATGGACTGAGCAGGTGCTAGGCACCTGCTGCATGAGCTGATTCTGAAGTATCAATTTGCCCTGGCAAATGTATACACCTCATGCTAGCCTCACGACTGGAATAAGCCTTTGAAAAGAAATTTGTCCTTGAAGCTTGTATCTGATATCAGCACTGGATCGTAGAACTTGTTGCTGATTTTGACCTTGTACTCAAGTTACTGTTCCCTTGGTATATGTTTAATACCCTGTGCATATCTTTGATTTCAGCCCTTAGTCCATGTGGCTCGGTCACTTGGTGGCTGAGGCAAAAGCAGGCTATGGAGGAGAAATCCCCAGTCTGGATCTGCGTGAGCACGGTGCAGTGATCTGGGCAGGGTATTATTAACGCGTCAGAGCTGACTGTTCGAGGATTTCTAAGGCTGGCAAGAGTTCCCTGTCTTGCCAGTCTCAAAAGGGTGGGAAAGTCCGAGCCTTAGGACCCGATTTCCGTTCTTAATGGTGTTTTTCCCTCCTGAACGCCATGGGTTGTTATTGCCTTGAGTTGGAAACGGTTTGCATTTACACCTGTAAATTTATTCATCCTTTTAATTTATGTAAGGTTTTTTTGTACTCAATTCTTTTACGAGATGACAACAAATTTTGGTTTTCTACTGTTACATGAGAACATGAGGCCCCAGCCACACGTCATTGTGTAAGGAGAATAAAGTGCTGCAGTACACAAGGACCGCTGCTCCTGTTTGGGGAGGGCTTTTCTGGGCATGCTCTGAGGGGGGTGGTCTGCAGTGAGGCTCCCCAGGCATCTAGGACTGCTGGCCACAAGGTGGGTGCTGGGAAGGTTTCTCCTGAGTCTGTAGTCTTACAGTCTTGGGCAGTTTGCTTGTCATAAGGCTGCGTGCTGGGTGCAATCTTGAGGCTAAGGAGTAGGGTCTCCCTGATAAGGCACAGGTGCCCAGGGCTGAAGTAGTGGGCGTGGGGATGGGTGAATGCTGTTAAACTCCTAAGAACATCGAAACCAGGTGCTAAGGACACCTGGTGTGAGCCTGGCCCTGATCACCAGGTACTCAGCCTTACAAAGTTGGGCTTGGGAGGATATTTTTTTGTCCCACTGCTTGCTTCCCTAGATGGGGGCTGGTTATCACTAAACTGCTTCAGGCTTTTAAACTATAGTTGTGAACAGTTTGACGACTTGGAAGGCCATCCCTTTGAGATGGAATACTCTAGATTTGCAGTGGAAGCAAATTTCATCAAGAGGGTTTCCTGCTTTTTTTTAAAAACTGGGGCTTCAACTCTGGGCCTAACTTTGAGCCACTCCACCAACCTTTTTTTTGTGATGGGTTTCTTGCTCAATTTTTGCCCAAGCTGGCTAGGATTACAGGTGTGAGTAGTCAGCACCAAGCTCAAGGGTTTACTTCTTAACCTGACTGCTGAAAGGGAGGCCCCTGTTGGGGGGGCGGGGTGCTCTGTTTCCTTTCTGTCACCCTTTGGTTTTGTCCTCTTGCTCTTCCTGTGCAGTGTGGAGGTAAGTCCCCCTGTGGTGTAGGTGACTTTCTAGCTCCACTGAAAGTGGAGTGCCTGTGATAGGGTAGTTGTAAGGTGAGGTCGGGAGCACAGTGGGAGTAGGGGTGAAGAGATGTCAGCACCACTACAAGAATGCAAATCAATCAGATGTACAATGAAGCACCACCTCTAGGATGGGAGGTGAGGATTGTGGCGCACCCAGAAACTCCTGCACTGCAGTGGGGATGTGATGAGGTGCTGCTGCTGCTGTGGACAACAGGTTGAGAGTCAGAGTTAGCACGTGACACAGGAACTCACTACCAGGTACTTACTCCCCAAACTGAAAATACTTATGCTGAGTGTGTTCATAGCACTAATCTCAGTGTCTGGAAACAACCCAGCTGTCCATCAATCAAGGAATGGCTAAAGAATGCAGTTCGTCCACACAGTAGAATATTACTCAGCCATAAAAGGAATGAAGCATGGATGACCATGAAGATCTCACGCTAAGTGGAAGAGGTAGTCACAAAATACCACTTGTTATGTAATTCCATTTGTGTGACGTGTCCAGGCAAACTCCAAGTGCAGATTAGGGGATGTGGTTGTGACTGCTTAATGGGGACAGCTTCAGTTTGGGAGTGATGAATACTTCCAGGACTAGATGGGTATGCTTAACTGCTCCCTGAGTGTACACCCAAATGGTTAAGATGATAAAAGTACCATAAAATGATAAGGATACATGCCCATCTGGGGACCCACACCAAGCACAGAAAAGTCTGCTGCAAATGGCAATTTTTCTATTTCTCTTCCTTCCCTGCTTGTTAGGTGAATTACTCATGCACAGAGAGCTTCACCCCCCCCCCCCCCCCACCACCACACACACACAAGTCTCCCATTTGGTTACCCTGAGGTACAATTTGTAGCAGAAAGACAGGACAATGCTTGAATATTCCTGCGGTCTGTCGGTTTTCGGATGAATGAGCTGGCTCCTTCACTTCCTCCAGTGTGGCCACTGTTCTTCATGGTGTTTTATGAACACGTCAACTTTAACATACTTGATGTGTTTCAGTCATTGCAGTTTTGGCCTCACTGTGCTCTGGTGGGCTCCTACATGAGGTGCAGGAAATACCTCAGGCTCATCAGGTCCCCTGATCCCCACCCCAGTACTGGGGATGGAACCAGGTCCTGGCTTATGCTAGGCAAGCGCTCTACCATTAAGCTGTACCCCAGCCCTTCGGTTGGGTCCTACTGGTTCTTGTAGAGTCCTCTGGCCCATAAGTGTCTGAGTCTTTTTGGACTTTTTGGGAATTATGGGAAGCATTGCTGGTCTGTGGGGTACAAGGTGCTCTGGGGTGGTCCATTTCCTGCCACAAACCTGAGGTCAGCCATTTCTCCTAGGGGCTCTGGGCCCTTGTCATGTCATGGGAAAAAGGTCTTAAGAGACCACCATCTGGGTGGTCTTCAGTGACTTGAATGCCATTCAGTTTAACAAAAGACATACCTCTTCCGGGAAATCTGTCATGCTGAGGGACTCTTGTGTGTCCCCAAAAGGCTTCCTTTCCCCGGAGCTGCCCAGGGAACCAATAATGGGACAAAGGTGAAGGGTGCCACCAACTGCAATGGGTTGTCAGGGAGCTGACCTCCCACTGTGGGCAGGGCCTGTCCACATATCCTGGTGCCTCCCATGTGAACCCCACTGCCCCCAGCAGGAGATGGGCATTGTGTTTATTTGGGGCACCTTGCCCCAGCTGACCCATGTTTTCATATAACATGGGGACCATTTCAAAGAGGGGAGAAGGCAGACTCTGGTGACTGGGTGTTTATGGCCTCCAAGTCCCTTGCTTCTTAGAGGTGGAGGCCTTCACACGGGATCCAGAGAGAGCATGGCTAGCGCTCTCCCGTGTGCAGCATATATGGAGGGCACCCTTTGGACTGCGCAGGGCCTGTAGTCTGACCCCATCCACTGGCGCTGGCCAGTTCATTCCAGCAGAAGTTTTCTGCCCTCTCTTTGCATGCTGGGTGCCTCCCTTGCCCCCGAGAAGGCCTTACCCTGTTGCACGGTTTCCTGCCCAATTTCAGGAAGTTATCCTCTCTGGGAGTGGTTTCGTGTCCACCCCATCAATGGTGTGCATGGCCACGAAACATCTCAGGCAAGGAAGTGAGCGGGAAGGAGCTGAGGAGCCAGTATGGGTAGGAGTGGTCCTGCCTTCTTCTGCCTCTGCCTTGGGACCACAGTGTTCAGAAACAGGCTTCTCCATCAGTCCTGAGGCCACAGAGATGCCACTGGACCCAACAGGATGGACATATAGCTTAAAAAGAAAGGAGAAAAAGAAGTCCTAATTACTACGGATCGGTGAGACAGTGCAGTGACTTGTTACGCAGCGCAACAAAGCCTCTCCTGCCCAAGACAGCAGCAGAGTGTGGTGAGTAGCACCTCTCAGAGTTGCGCAGGGAACGACCTATGCAGCTATCCCCAGCAGCCCTGCACAGCCAGGTCCTTCCGCTTGGAACACCTGCCTAACCACTGCAAGGCCTGTTGCTACTTGAACATTCCCTGGTTGGCAAGACTTTTCTTTTTTTCTCCCAAATTGGGGTTTGACCTCAGGGCCTACGCCTTGAGCTACTCCACCAGCCCTTTTTTGTGACGGGTATTTTTGAGATTGGGTCTCAAAAATTCTTTGCCTGGGCTGGCTTCAAAGTTCGCTCCTTCTGATCTCTGTCTCCTGAGTAACTGGGATTACAGGCGTGAGCCACTGGCACCTGGCTTATAACACATTTTGTTTATCCATTCATCGGTTGGTGGACACTTGGATGGCTGTAATGTATAACAATGCAGCTGTGAGTGTGGGTGTGCAAGGACTTGCCCTCGTCCCTGCTTTCAGCTCTTCTGGGTACCCTGTATTCCCCGAAATGGAGGTTCTGGGTCTTGAATTCTGTTGACCTTTTTGAGGAACTGGCAAACCCTCCCACAGGGGCTGCACCATTTCAAGTACTCACTAGCAGTGCACAAAGGTTCAAATTCCTCCATGGCCTTGCCCACTTGTTTTCTGGGCTTTTATTTTTTTTTGGACAGTGGCCACCTGAGGGTGTGCCACAGCTTCTGAGTATTGACTGCCTGTTTGACCAGGATTTCTTCCCTTCACCCAGTGTCTCAAACCAAGATCCTCCTGATCTCTGCCTCTCAAGTTGCTAGGAGTATGGGGGGGGGCAGCCTCTCTCTCTCTCTCTCTTTCTCTCTCTCTTTTCAGTACTGGGGCTTGAACTCAGGGCCTTCACCCTGAGTTCACTCCACCAGCCCTATTTTTGTGAAAGGTTTTTCGAAATAGGGTCTCACAGAACTATTTTTCTGGGCTGGCTTTGAACTGTGATCCTCCTGATCTCTGCCTCCAGAGTAGCTAGGATTACAGGCGTGAGCCACCGGTGCCTGGCTCTGTCTGTGTATGTTGACATGCATGTATAATGGGTATTTCTCCATGCATTTACACATATACATAAATATGGCAATGTGGAACCTTCTGCATCTGTATTAAGCTAACACGAGTTCCTACTGATGGCTCCAACTCTAACCCCATCACCAAATTGAACAATCTACCCTGTCCTGGTCTCTTTTTGAGACAGAGTCTCACTATGAAGTCTAGGCCAGCCTCAAACTCGAGGTTCTCCTACCTCAGCCTGGGTTTATGGGTATGTGGCCAGCACACCGTGCCACTTGTCCTCCTGCTTCTCCATAAACTTTCATCCCAAGAGTGAGGAACCTGCCTGTGCCATCTACCGACTTAACGGTTTAGTTCTGGCATGCATGGATAGTGGGTGCAGAATCACTGCCTGACCTCAAGGAAAAGACTTCTCCAGTAGAGGTCAATGTCACCTGCAAGTCCCTTTGCCTTTGGTCTTAAATTTCTACTCATTTCCAGCTACTAAGGTTCACCCTCCTCCTCCAGTGAGGCTGTGTCCTGCACCCCTGTGCAGATTCTCTTGTGAGTCTGAATTCCTTCCTGGGATCTTCTATCTTCTAAATGATTCTTTTTTTTTAAGACAGGGTCTCACTATGTAGTGTGACTGGCCTTGAACTCATGATCCTCTTGCCTCAGTCTCCCAAGTATTGGGATTATAGGCCTCTGCCACCCTGCCCAACTCCAAACCATTTTTTTTGACAGTACTGGGGTTTGAACTCAGGGTCTCCTACTGTTGGGCAGGCACTGTACCACTAGAGCCACTC